CAGAATAGATACAATATTTTCCACCAATGACAAGCCTGACAAAAGTTTCCTGGATTGCCCGTTACGTTTTATTACACGTACATAGACACACGCAACATACAGATACGTACACACTAGTACACGCGAGCACGCGCGTATACATATACACGTATATATGTACTATAATATTATACGATGTGTATTATATATATAAATATATACGTTTTTGTTATACACGAGGATGGATATGCATAGTAACGAAAAGTATATCATTTATATGTATAATATATTTAGAGACAGCGTTAGAATCGCAGAATCGCAGTTCAGTACCTGCTCTTCAAACTAGATGTCAGTCGGCGTTTATGCAACCGTGCTTCCACTCTCCTGAATAACACAGTTCCCTGGCCCTGTCCACCAACACTTTCAGTCAATCAGCTAGTCCAATTACCATCTCAGATTCACCATACCCAGTAACTGGTGTTAGCTTGTTTGTTTACTTGACCGCACTTGGGACAAATACGGCTTTATCGCGCTAGTTTCCTCGAATTTCTCACGAACAACGAGGATGATGTCTAACTTGATCGCAGAGAAACTTTTGCTGGAACGTTGTTAAAGATACCATCGGTCCATGCCGATTATTCATGTCAATTTTGTCCAGAGACGAACGTTATTGCGTATCATGGAGAACGATGATAACATGGATTAATTTGATTCCTCGTTTTTCGAATTCCATTTAGATGACATAATAATATTTCTCTTAACTGTAATTTAACAAGTGTCAAAGTCGATACGTCCGAATAACTTAGTCGTAGATGAATATTGCTACCTTGACGCCATGTTGTAACTCGAGATTAGAAAATGGCCGTTCAAACACCAACGGTGATGTCGAAATTTCTCGCGATGTTTGATAATGAAAATCCATCACTCGCACAATCATGTCTCGTGGACGTGGCATATAAAAGTGAAAAGGAAAATGGACCAAAATGGAAATAAATAAATGTTGGAGCTGTATTTCTCTCTGAGTGCAAAGGGTCAACGCCCAGCATGTACCCTGCATTTCCAACTAATATTTAGGTCATATATATGTATGTGACCTAATGTTGCAATTCTTAAGTGTAATAACCTTGGTGTTTTAGACAGCATTAATTATTGTTTTTACGTGTAAATCTTGGAGAAAGGACAGTGGTAAAGTGAAATTCCGCCTTGGATTATAAGCTCACAGGATGGACCATGTGAATTGTTACAAATTAGTTTCTCTAAAACTATTAAACGCAGCAGTGTAATTAATCTTCGTACGATAACATCTTAAAGTTATCGTTTAGAAATTTCATTGTTCAATTGATTAATTTCGTTGCAACAAGATAGTGGAAAACAGGTATGAGAACAAAGAAACTTTCAAGGATAGGTATTTCCACGAAGCAATTTGTTATTGCAATTTGGTAATAATTGTTATTACGAAAATAATTTATTGCCGGATAATGAATTATTAAATTATCGATTCTTATTCTATATAAATATGGTTGATCAGCCTTATTGGATCTCACAGGGAACAAAATGGAACGTTCCACGCTTCTGACTATGCAATCATGATGAAGATTATGCATTTTACCTAAGCCTTTGCAATTTTAGTAAAATCTACCTCGAATTTTATTTTTATTTTAGTAAAACAAGGAAATGGTGGACACAAATATTTCTTAGATAAAATTAAAATCATGTTTTCCATTTCTTCGTTCATTTATATTCAGAAATTTGATATACTCTTTGCTCTAACAAAAAATTGCATATCGTTTACAAAAATAGATGCAATCAAATTCAGATCAAAATCAAATTTGATTTCTTCGAATAGAAATAAATATTTTTAATAAATTTTCAGCATTTTTTGAATTCTTCCTGGAACTTAACACGAACTTCCGTTTGTTCCCCAGATACAATAACAGCGATAACAGTGATATTTCGTGCTGTTCGAATATCAAGATATCCTACTAACAAAAATTAGGTTTTTAACGTATTCGAAAGGGAAACGATGTTTTTGACAGTTTTCGAGACTACGTCGCGTAACAATTTATATGACTCACCCTGTATACGCTTTATATACGTATACACGTTGATACACGTATATAAAGCTGTATGTATACGCATATATGTACTTGTATACTGCTAATCATGTGTCACGCGCTATTCAGGTTTTACGAAGGGATTGTCAGTGGGCCAACAATCGTCTAGTCTAGGGAAGACTTGTATAGTCGTACATGCATTCTTCTTAAATTGACTGTCATTTATAATTTGTGTTAGCGCGATTACGCTTTTCGTGAGACAACAATAAACTCAACACCACCGTACTAGTCCCTTCGACGATGTAAATCGAATACTTATACACGACTACGCAAACGAGTGTGCAGAGTGAGCCACCACATATACAAATGAAATACCTTTGAATATGACACTTTTAGATTATCGTTGTTTTTCGATATTTTTTTCAGAGTTACCAAGGTTATCAATCTCTTCCTAAATGAATCTATATGTTTCCCCCTTGCATGTTGTAGCTAATGTTAATCAAGTTTCCAGCCTGTTAAGGTTAAAGGATTACATTTAAGTTGGAGACTTTTGCATCGATGTCCCTTGGCAAAGCAACGCGTTTCTCTAGAACGATCCACGTCGAAAGACTGCAACACCTTGTCACTAACTATCTTCCAGGCTCTATCGGCATTCTCGATATAGTAGGCGTCTCTCTTCGCGCGTTCTAGCCTCTTCAGAAAGAGACCCACGACGTAAGAACGAACGACTACGCGACAGATGGAATCGTTCGATCGACGTCACGTTTCAAACAGCAAAGATTCTCGTCGAAACGTATCGAGAGAGAAACCTGTAGATTTGTTCAGAGGCAGTGATAACGTGGATAACTTTGAAAGCACACGATCCCCGGGTCAAGCTACGGTGGGATCGTCAGAGTCTGTTTCTCCTTTGGTTTCGTCTCCGGGACATGACACCTCGGTCTTTTTGCTTTTGCCAACTTCTCGTCAACTCACTCTGTATAATCCATAGCCATTTCGTTCGTTATACGCACACAAAACAATAATCTATCGGCGGTACTGTCGATCGTTGCACGTACTACTCGATACACCGAGCAGCGTCCTAGTGACAATAGTAAGGTGTCACTCGTCGAATGTATTCACTGTATGTTCATCTCTGTCGACTGTCATTCATACGTACGAGATCATCGTAATGTTCTTCGAGAAAAAAAGAAGACGAAGATTTTTTTGAATCAGAGATTTTGGTGAACGCAGCTTGAACGAGACAGGCTTGGCAATTTTTTGGGGGATGCATCGAATCGCGGGGGAAAGCTGAGAATCTCGGATTCGATTTAACTGCTACGTGCGTTTTTCGGGGTTCGTATGGTCTGTATGTGTAGATCGGCGAGCACCACGACGAATTAACGTTCGAATTGTGCCAACTCGACGTACGAACATTCTCCACATTCGATTTGTTCTCTCTAGATGGGCAATAGGACTCGAACGACACGTGACTCTTGCATCGTAGGCAATCACACGATATACTCACGACTTGTCTCATCTCTACACCACACTCACGTCACGATTCACATAACAATGCGTCGGCCCCAGTACAGTAGATTTAATGATAACCTCATCTGTAAGGCCTAATATGTCGATATCATGTGTTTTTCGGCCCATGCTGGATTCAGTGGCACACAAGAATTCGTGTGCTCGTGTTGCATTGGCATTTTTCCTTTCGCAAATACATGTTTACGTATCGCAGAGCGTCGATCGTGCGCCAGAACAGCCTGTGTCTGCTGAGTTCATGATGAGCCTAGCATTAGATGCCATCAAGTAGTAAGGATTGGGCATGGAATGTCTATGGTGAAGTTTGTTTCTTATTCGATAACGCAATAACACTTTCGTCACTCTAGGCAGTATTTTTGTATGAACTTATATATGTGTAATAGCAAGAGTATGTGACTTATTAATCCACACACCGCACTTAGAATTAACACACATATATATAGAGAAGAGTCTTGTGCTTGTACTTGATTGCAAGGATCGAACGTCAACGAGCCTGCACTCTTACGTATTTCATCCAGTTTTGTCATGTTTTATCTATTTTCTGTATACTGTATGTCTAGCACAGATGATTTACCACGTATGTTGTGTGTGCGCGCGCGCGCGCGTGCTCGCTTGCGCGGGCGCGTGTGCATAGTTATTTGATCACGTTAGTCGGCTAAAACGACTCACTCCAATTCCTATCGCAGTTCCGGTAAGTTTAGTCCATTAATTAGTTCTACTTATATTTACTATGTTACATGTACGTATACATATATATATCTCTCATACATATACGTTTATATATATGTATACAAAAGGTAAATACGCGGGAATCGCGATTTCTCTTTCACTTTTAACCGTAGATGTTTCCTTAATCGTTGAATACGATATTTTGCCGTATAATATAATATTTGCAAGTGTATAACCTCTATTTTCGAAATTCTATCCAATGATATATCATATTTCTGACCAATCGACGCAGATATTCGAGTCCGAACTTCTTCGTTGTGGCAGCAGACTAAACTGGTGTACAGAAGGAAAAAAGAAAAAAGAAAAAAGAAAAAAGAAAAAAAAAAAAGAATTCCGAACGATATCCATATCTTTTTCTCTCCTCTCACACTCGGCTGCGTCGCACTCGCGCGGATTCGTTTGACCGTGTTTACGCCCTCGACAAGTGCACCCTCTCGAGGAGCGTGTTCAAAGCAAAGGAAAGCAAATGGAAACGGAGTAAAAGCGACTGGCTGGCAATCAGAGAGAGAGAAAAACGTAACGAAATCGTTAGTCCGTTGATACATATGTATGTATATTATATAGAGCGTGTACATGGTAGTTGCTTGTAAGTCTCTCTCTTTTTTTCTCTCTTTTCATTTTTTTTTCTCTCGTTTTTTTTTCTCTTTTTTTTTCCATTTCAACCGTCTGTACTTTATGCGGGAGTGGAATCTAATTCGTTCGTTGTGTTGGCAGACATATTGTCGTGTGTGGCCACATCACCTACGAATCAGTCTCGCACTTCCTCAAGGACTTCTTGCACGAGGACCGCGAGGACGTCGACGTGGAAGTTGTCTTCTTGCATAGGTATGATTATCGATCCGCTACTTTACCAACCTTATATCAGACCACGTGCATCTCTATCCTCATTTGGTCTCATATGGTCAACGAACCTCTGTATAATCGAGCCCAGGCACGGCAGTAACCGGAAAGAGGCCTCTCGCTGCGCGGAGGTCATGTGCAAATATATACTTGCGTGTGCATTAGGCTGCACACGGGTCGTTGCGCGATTATACAGAACGTCTTTGACACTTTTCCTTCCATGTCCCGGTGTCTTACTCGTCGAATAAATAACGAACATCAGATAGATCTTGTACAATACAAATTGCAGTTCAAGTGTGTTACCGATCAAACTTTTACGTATCTCTAAGTGATGTTTCTCGCTTATTCGATTACCTTCAACATCACGATGTGTTACATGTGCTAATCGATATGAAATTAAGTAAGTCTGCTACTGTAATCGTTACCGATACGCAGTCACCCACGTCGAACAATGTCATGCGATATCGATGATTTTCACGAAAAAAGGGGATGATAACCGTGTCTAGAATCGTTGTAACGTTGCAAAGGGGTAAGTGTAGGCTGACGACTTGTGTAGGTCTCCCAATTATACCAGCTTTCCTGCGGTTACGCGACCAATGACGATCAGACCCTATCGACTTACCATTCCTTTAGCCAGACACACGAGGCCGAGGCTCTCACTCGGGTTAATTGCGAGTGATAATTCGAGATGTAATACCAGCAGCAAAGTTTTCGCGGTGAAGCAGGTGGCAGGATGGTCTACGAAACGAAAGTGACAGAGAATAAAGGGAAGCCAGAGGCATCCGGTATGCCGATGCACGGTTTCGATCGTTCGTGATGGTCTGATCGTCATTGTCGTAAGGAGTGATCTGTGTTTCCAGGAAAGAGCCAGATCTCGAATTGGAGGGTCTCCTGAAGAGGCATTACACGACCGTGGAGTTTTTTCAGGGCACTATGATGAATGCTGTGGACCTGGAGCGCGTCAAGGTATCCTGAACCCTAAAAACAACCATCACACGAAACCTACGCCAAATCAGACAACCTACCACCAATCTATCCTTTGCGTGGCCGCTCGTGCTTCTTATTTCCTTGTAGTTTTTTAGGTTTTTGCGCGATGATTTACACGGAAGTAATTTAATATCTTGTGTATCAAACGATTCGTATAGATGTCTGGCATAGATGTCTATATAGCGTGCATATAATCGACTTGATACGTGCAGGTGTACATAAATGAATTCTGGTCCAGTTATACGGGTTTACTTGTTCCTCTTCCTCTCTGTCTCTCCTCTACGTATCTCGCCTTCTTTTCTCCTTCTTCTTCTTCTTCTTCTATTTCGTTTAGAAATTATCTGGTTGTTAGGCAATTTCAGTTCTAATATCTAGCTGCCAGGTATTGTGGTACTATCTGTATCCTCTGCTTTCGAAAGTTTTCTCATACTTTGTGGTGTCACGTAATGAAATAACTGTAACGAATAATCCGATGTAATGGAGAAGTCTTAGAATTTTTCGTCCTCGTTTATTCACTAACTTGTGTAAAACGTAGCTGGTAGTAACGATTTGTTTTGTTCGTCAATGATAGAAGAGTGGGATATATACATAGAGATGCGGAATTCAACAAGGGAATATACTTTTCGAATTTGTTTATTAACAAAGTGGGACGCGATTGGTAGTATAATTGAATGGACGATGATTTCTCGTTTAAAAGTAAATACAGGAGATTGAATCAAGTTTTGTATATGGCTCTGTTTTCGAGGAGATCGATTTTGCTGATTCGTTGCTCGTGTGAATGAATATGGTTTGTCTAGAGTGCCATTTTAATACTGATTTTTATCCAGACTAATTTATATACATTATCTGTGTTAATGATATTGTAAATATTATCATAAAATCAGAATATTATTTAATAAGTTACGTTTTACTCATTAAAATTATAAATTATAATTATAAAATTATTATTAAAAATAAATATATAAATAAGAAAAATTAAAAATATGAGAATAAATTAAAATTATTCTTTTATTTTTAATTTTTCTTATTTATATATTTATTTTTATTTTCAGGTTTTCGTTGATTTTTTAATTTAAAAGCTATTTAACATTTTTGTAGATTGCTTTCTTAATATAATCCCATAAATAAAAATTACTTGGTGTATTATACAAAATTTATATATGTCATTAGTGCAAAATGAAATTATAATTAATTCAACATGCATACTTTTTGTGAAAAAATTTGTATTCTTTTTATTATTGAAAAAGTTTTTATTATTTTATTATCATTGGAAAATATTAATCGAATTTTTTCAATTAGCATATTAACAATTTCTAATTGTCATAATATTTTTAGTATAATAAAAAGGAATAATTACAATATAATAATTTATGTTATATAAATGAAATGGTACGGTTAACCAAACCATATTTTAATAAATTTTCAAAGTGATTTTCTTCCAAACAGAATCTCATATGGCAACTTTTGTTTCACATTTTGTATTTATCTTTACTTGCTGAATCATATTCGTCATAACTCGTGTCAGAAATTATATTCTTGGGATTACCAAAAATTTCCGTTCAGAAATAATTACATTATAGGAGTATACTGGGAAAATTTCACGTTGCAATTTGCAGTATGAAACTAATCTTATATCTACCTAACCTCATTGCCATAGTCCGGGAAACTGTCGTTTTTATCGTATGACATCTCTCTTCGGAAGGAACATTTCGATGGAAATGTTTCGCCATATATCCCGAGGTTACGCAGATAATCGCATTAGTCACTTATAAAAATCACCTTATATATGTTGGTGTATGTACATAGTACACGCATATATGTACATATATATGTACGAATTTATACGTAGAAAGCAATTGCCTGCGACTGCATGGTATGCTGTAATGAGCTATGGAGCCGAATCAGCGTGCAGTAGAGACTTACTTAGATCTATTACTACATTATTATATCGTGTATTCTTGACTTTCGAGGAAGCATTCATTATTCTCTAGATAATGGAACATTGTACCGAACGTATATGTACAGCAGTGCCCGCTTTAGTGTCCACAGTGAGGATATCCGGACGCTTATCCGAGCAGGTGACTTCTGAGTCACATGTTACAGTAAAAAGAATATTTCACACACCCATATCTCGATAAAAGAACGAAAAAACAAAAATAATTATTTATTGCAATATATATTACCCTTAATATTAACCCTTTCGCTACGGCGAGCATTGTCGCGAAGTCTCTTCCGTAGAACGCAGCGCGGTGTCAAAGATGGCAACATTGCGATCATGCAGTCTTTAGCATTCGGTCTTTCGACGCAAATCTTTTGAAGAAAAAAAGATAAGGAAAACTGACCGTCGCAATGGAGCTTGCAATCCTTTGCGAAGAGAGCTAAGAGGAACGGTAGCACTTTTCTTAATTTTTTACTCAATTTTTGTGGCCGGTGACTATAGTCACCCGTCGTGTGTAGATGGCGTCTCGTGGCCGGTGACTATAGTCACCCGTCGTGTGTAGATGGCGTCTCGTGGCCGGTGACTATAATCATCCGTCGTGTGCAGATGGCGTCTCGTGGCCGATGACTATAATCATCCGTCGTGTGTAAGGTGGCGTCTCGTGGCCGGTGACTATAGTCACCCGTCGTAGCGAAAGGGTTAAACAATTTTTATGTAACCATAATTACGAATAATTATAGGTGACAAAGTGAAATGACTCACCCTGTATATCACGCAGAATCAAAACCCAAAACAGATTAGATTCTTAAATATTTTATTTTCCATATACAATTTTTGTAATATTTCTATATTACAAATATCTTTCTGATGAATTAATCAATCACAAATTAATATCGAAAACACTTCACTCCATAAAACAGTTTTAGGAATGGGTATCGTCAATAGGACGGTAAATGGATGGTGGACGCTTATGTGGGCAGTACTGTATATGTATATACATAGTATAGAAATTGTTTAAAGACTTTGCTGTTCGCTGTTCCTCGAAGGTCTGGTAAATACGACAGCATTATTACATTTACCACTTATATTATAAGTCGAATCTCCGCCCATCTCTGGCGGTCTACTCAGCGATAACTCGCAAAAAGGCGTCGTCTGATATCTGAGGTGAACATTATGAAAAGAAACGTATCATTTTGTCGGGCCGGTGCCATTTAGGAAACCACCAGATCTCGAGCTGGAGGGACTATTCAAACGGCACTTCACCACCGTGGAGTTCTTTCAGGGGACCATCATGAACCCCATTGATCTGCAACGGGTCAAGGTGAGTCTGATATACATACATATTGTCCAAGTGAAATAAAACCCTCGACTCCTTTCTCTTCTAAACATGCAAGACAAACCTGTGATAATTACACCGACTTGTATCAACCTGTGTATTATTCGGCGAATGCCATTGTGCACATATATATGTACGTGTATACAGTCTGCCCTTGGAACGTTGATGAATATTTTACAGAGAGATGAAAATGTCATATGATTGTCAGTAACAAATTTGTTTGGTAGAGAGTGGGATCTTACGTCATTTATTTTATTCGTTTAATTTCTATTGGAATTCATAGATGAGAGTGAAGCTCTCAAGGTCACTTCAGTATAAATTTAGTGCTCTTGCATTGTTATTGTCATGGAAGAATATTATGTAAGTTATAATTAAGAAATGGAAGTTTAAAATTGTATTTAACCCTTCCTCGAGTAAGCGTTTCGGTAATCTTAAGACGATTGCGTTTAACTCACTAGCGCCACCACGGCTCGTATCTGCAGTAAATGTTTCTCGTAAATAGCGAATATAACATTGAGTTATTTTCTAATTTTACTGATGTAATCATGGAATTTTCTTCTTACTCCGTGTGTTATATTATTTGCACAATATCGTTTTCACAAATTTTGTCAACGTACATATACGTCTGTACACGTGGAAGGGTTACAGAGAAATACAAATAGGGGTGATTGCTAGCTGCAATTTAAATGCGGGTTATTAACGATTATTGTTATTCTACATGAAATAGAATTCAAATTTTAAAATCCCAAGGATAAAGGATAAAAATCTTATATATAATGTATTATTGATATGTATTAATTATTATTCTATATGTACTATGTAACAAATATTTTATGGACCGTTAATATTACTTAGGTTAGTTGGGAAAAATAGTCAAATTTATCATATTTTTACCATTATTTACGAAATCATATTTTAGAAATTAAATAATTTATTGCAACGACGTCATTTCCAAATTATTAGAATGTCGTTTATGAAATTTATCGCTAATTATACTGCACGATGAACATTCTTCACTATGTAAAATTACGACTTTTTTTAAGTAATCAAAAATATTTTTTTATTAATTTTGAACTGTCAACGCATAAAATTTATTCTTCATTATTTATTTATTGGATATTGCTGAAAACTTAGAAAATTAAGATTTGAACATTTGTTAGCTTTTTTTAAAATAAATCTTAATTAAAATAATTTCTAATTATAGAAAGATAAAATAATAATAAATATTGAATATTTACATAGAAATTTCAATACTTACGCAAAATTATCGTTCAGAAAACTAATATAAAAACCCAATAATGGGAAAAAATTAATATATTAATACATATAATATACATAATATATACTGTAAGAAATATTATCAATAAACTGTCCATGTAAAATGAACAGAAAAAGAAGAATCGAGTATCTTAATAGCATTATAGAATGTTATTAAGAATTTAGTAAGTATTCACAATGATCGATAATTTTATGCAAGACATAAATATTTTTACGTATATTAAGAAAAATAAATTATTAAAAAGTCTTACATTTATGAAAATCTGTTTGCATTAGTCAATGTTCCTCTCATACCAAATAACTTTTGTGTAAACAATTTTTATGCATTTTCTTGTCTTACAAATGTTCCACTGTTTCCAGTTAAATTCGACGTACTGTATACACACATGTCCATACATATATATCTCTGTGCTCAACATCCGCAGGACCATCGAGTTATCGTATTCCTCCGTTTATGTGGTAGTAGCTCCCATGACGTGCTACTTGTACTTTGGGTTTTGCATTTATTAAAAATATATCAAGATTATTATCTTTTTTCAGATTTTTGCACTATTTATTTTTTGTCAGAAGGTCTAATGATAGATAAATTGAATTATTTTTAATATTATATCTTTTGTATAAAATACAATACATGTATAAATAATATGCATATGACTTAAGATAGAAGAATGGGACTGGATGAATTGAATGTACAAAAATGACAGGAAATATTAAATCTTAATTAATGTAAGTTTGTAATTTAATAATTTATTGATAAATTGAATAGTATTTCGTTGTTTTTTATTCGTATTATTCTATGAAATTTATTATATTCGAGTTTATTATTCCAAGATTTATTCTAAATTGGTTTATATATATCAACTGATTTAAATATAGTAGTTTAAATAGAATATTGAATAAACGTGTAGCAAGTTGTACGATATAAATCCGATAGTGTTGAATAATTCAGATGTTATAAAACCATCGACGATCGATGATGTGACAAATGACTAGCTGTGAGACAGCTATTTCAATAGTCTTCACTCTGTCACCTGCAGAAGCACACGTTTATCGAGATCAATTTATTTTCGCTTTGACATTCTATTTTCTGATGTTTGAATATTTTAAATAAAAATTTTAAATATACTATCTTCGATATTTCTCATATTACTTACATAATTTATTTTATAGTTTTCAATTAATATAATATATAGTATGTAAATGAATTGATGTGTAATAAGCACATTTTTGTCCTTAATTTTAATTTGCATTTAAAATTATTTGCATTTAAACCAATGTAAGAACTGATTTTAATGACTTGAATGATTCTATTATTTATAGCTTTTATTTTTAATTTTTGTAATTCTTATTTTTTTTATAAATTTTCTTTTTATCAAAATTATATATTTTAAAGTTCATAAAATTTTTGCATATAAATTGTTCTTATTATATAATTAATGTTATAATTATATAATTTGAACATATATATAGTAATATATTTCTATTCAATATATTGTAGTACAAATTATATTAATATTTTTGATATCGGAAACATTTATAATCTTTAAGAAATATTTATATAGAAATATTTATATTTTAAATTAATATTTATATTATATAAAAATCCTCAGTTAATAAGAATCTAATAAACAATGCATATATATATAACTATAATTATTTATAATTATATAACTATATTATGTTATATATGACAATAATATAAAATTGATAAATTAATAATAAAATAATAAATATTTATGGATTTTCTCAGCCAAGAAAATTTTATTGATTTTATACTTAGCTCGATTGTTTAATTGTATTAACATTTTCGATTAATATCGTGAGCTGAAAAATTTGCATAAATAAGGGAACAAAATTTACGGATTCTCTCAGCCAGGAATATAACTCGTTACTTATTATCACATACCAGTAGCCAAAAAGAACATGTTCATCCAGTCCCTAATTCTCGAAAACGATTACGCGAACAAAATGTCCATTCGATCACGGAAAGTACAAGTGTCATGGCTGCTGCTCGAAATAATTAGTAGTCGTTCGAAAACTGACATTGTGCAAAAGGACAAATGCTGTTGTTCCAAAATGGTTGTTGCCTGTATGTACCCTTTTGTGCACACTGACGATGTTTCATGAGATCCCTTTGACGCGCTTTCTATGCTGTCATCTGCTTTCGTGTTCCGTTAATATGTAATAGCTCGTACAAGTTCAATCGAACAAACACACGATATTTCACTGATATTCGCGATGACTCAGTTCTATCGGCAATCTCTGTATCTATTTGCTACGATTAAATTCGATTCTTCGATTCGAAAATCTTCGCGGATCCATAGACCTCTCGTCAAGAGTTTCAAAAGCTCGAAAAAGAGAAAAAAATACATATATTTATGTTATAATCGGGAGAAAAACATACTTAGTTTCTTCTAACGCGTGTTGACATGCATACGTTCTCACGTCTGCGTCGAATTGCGTGAAAAAATGTCTTTCGAAGGTTGTTTACACCTAACCGGATACAACCATGTCTACTGTCGATCCAGGTGGGTAAGTGCTTGTGAATGGAGTTTAAGTAAATAATTATATTTCTAAGAATTACTTTCTGTTAGAGACTTAGTTTTTACGACAGCGATTCGTGATTCTCTTAAGTATTATATGATAGATTAATGCATTTAGGACGAAGAAGAGGCTAGTATGCTTGGCTATTTGTACGATATTTTTGTGTCGAATATTAAATCCAGTTAGTAGATGAGCATGTAGCGAATTTTAGAAATTCCTTCGTTTAGTTAACACGTGTATAAGGAATGTCCTAAAGAGTTGCTTTCCATAGTCTAATTACACATAGTTCCTTAAAATGCGTCGAAGATACGTATATACTAATGTACATAAACATAATGCTTGCTAAAGAAGTGTATGAAAAGGTACATGGCATAATAGATGTTTCAGATCCAATAAGTAATATTTATTGTTTATTGTATTTGAGTTTGGTGTAATAACATCCTGATATAGTAACTATAACTATAATTTTGCTATATTAACCCTTTGCACTCGAGAGGTGAGCTTCAGTCACCATTTCATAAAATTTGGAAAATCGATAATAATTAATATATCAAATTTAATGTAATAGTGTGCGAAGTATCGAAATCAAATAATTCTGGAATTTTATTATTATACAATTCTATATGTACTGTTCAAAAAGGTATCGTTGATATTTTAGTAGAGAATCTTTGAACTTCTACTCTTCTCTAGCCAAAAAATTGTCGAGTGCAAAGGGTTAACATATGGAATTATACTAAAATTTATTACATATTGGTAAGGTATTGGGTTGTTCAGAAAGTTCGTAGTGTCATTGATAACTGATAGCATAAATTAAAAAGGATAATAATTTGTCGTCAACTTCCATAAAAATGAAAGAAAGAATAAACAGGGAATTTTTACATTTAATTTAAAATATTACATTTAATTAATGGTGAATAAGAGAAAGGTTTAATTTCGAGATAAGACAATGTTGAGTTGTGTATTTCATCGTTGATGAAATGCAGACAGAACGTTTAACCAAAAGATCCAACCATGTATGGTATTTAGGTTAATGGTCATAGAGAATGTTAGGTTAGGTTATAATTTACGAAAGACGCAGGAACATCTGCTTCTCTGGTTTGAATGTTTAGTTATTTTGGTTTTGTTATTAACTTTATTACTGAAAATGAGAAATATCATAAACTGAATTATTGCTCGTATGCCTAACCTCTTTTATACTAATTGCATTGCAATCTTATTCTTAGGTTCAAAGAATAAACGTCACGTATACAACACTTGGTATTTGGAGTAACATTTGACAGTTGCATATAACGATTGATGTATAAACAGATAAACAGTTTATCTAAACTTAAGAATAAACAACAAACGTATGTTGAAAATTAATATTTATTAGATATGTTCCTAGATTTTCAAGAATTCTTGGATTCTAGTTACTTGGCCCCATTAGCTGAATAAAGCAGTAGGACATTTTATTGTTTCAATATTCGAAATGTAAAAAGCAAAGGATAAAAATAAAATGTGAAGATAATATTTTAATCCTTATCTACGTATTAATTATAATACTTTTGCTATAAGAAACTCAAGACCACAAGCAAAGTTTTGTTATATATAGTATTCAACATGTACTGGAAAGCCATTTTCGAAAGTGTTGTATTCTTCAAAATTGCAATAATTAATTTTTATTATAAAAATACAATTAAGACCATTATTTAACACTTGTTAACGTATTAATTATAATACTTTTGCTATAAGAAACTGAAAGTGGTGGCCACAAACAAACTTATATTATATATAGTGTTCAACGTGTAAAGCCATTTTCGAAAATGCTATATTCTTCAGAATTATTATATTATAAAAATACAATTATATTATTATTATAAAATAATATTAATTTTAAATAAAATTTTAAAATGATATTAATTATTATAAAATTATTATAAAAAATACAAATCAACGTAATTTAAAAAGGAAAGGAAAAGATAAAAAAGAATTATTCCACAAATCTAGTAACAGCGAAAGGAAGGACTAGGTAAATAGGCTAGGGAAATTTATCGAATGCCCTTTGAATAGATTGCAAAGCTGATATAAAAATTAAAAAAAAAAGCAAAAAATGCTAATCGATCTTTTTACATGTACAATAATTATTAATATAATTTAAAACACACTATATTTATTATTAGACGAGAATACAAATATTTTGACATTATTAAAGAAACAGAGGTAGCATAAATAGTTCAAGACTAAATTATTAAAAGATTATTAGAATTCATAAAATTCAAACAAATTTTGGATACTCTCAGTAATGTAAGTTTTATTAATATTTATTTTTTTAAAGTTAATATTTGTGTTAAATTCTTGTTATAATTTATCGTAGTAAATTATTTCTTACATAATTCTTCGAAAATTTTGTCGAAACCTCAACAATTTGAGTCCTGACTGCTCGGTCACCGGATGTACCATAGTTCCCCTATCGTTTATTCTAGTTCTTGTGAAACTTTTTTAATGGTGAGAAACTGAATGCTCCCGAGACCTGCGAGAACTATTCGTAAGAATTCCTTACCGAACACGACGAGAAGTTTCTTGTTAAAGGGCTGGTGAACCTATTCAATAGAAGATACGAAGTTAACAGAAACTGTGTACAGATATTTTCCATATAACACGATGATGGTTTCGAAAACCATGCTATACGAATTCGTGTTATACGAAATAAATTAGGAAATAGGAAAAACAAATGGTGCATAAAATTAGGTTAGCTTCGAAAAATGAACGAAACTGTATCATTGCTTTTTAATAACCAAGAGAGGTATGTTTATTAGTACTAAAAATAATTAATTTTTAGCTTTCATTTTAATATTCCATTTCTTTTTTATTTTAAATTTACTTGACTTTATGATTTTTCTTAGAATATGACTATAAGCAATTCTTTATTATGCAGTAGTGGACAAAAGAAAGTTTATATGGTAAATTATGCAAAACGTTCTAAGGAAAAATGAATAAAACTGTATTACTTACATTTTGTAATTAAGAGAGTTACGTTTATTAATACTAAATGATCAATCAAACGATAATGTAGCTTTTAATTTAATAGTCAACTTTTTTCTTATTTAAAATTTATTTGAAATAATTTTCTTTATGATTCTTTGGTACATATCTCCCTTTTTATTTTGTTTGTTCTAAAATTGAAATGTTTATTTATCAGTACTAAAAATAATTAATTTTTAACTTTTGTTTTAATATTCGACTCCTTTTTCATTTTAAATTTACTTGACTTTATGATTTTTCTTAGAATATGATTATAAACAAAAATAAATAAAACTTTATTACGTACATTTTGTAATTAAGAGAGGTATGTTTATTAATACTAAATGATCAATTCGTAGCTTTTAATTTAATAGTCAATTTTTTTCTTATTTAAAATTTATTTGAAATAATTTTCTTTATGATTCTTTGGTACATATATCTTTTTTTATTTTGTTTCTTCAAAAATTGAAATTGTTTTTACCATTTGATCAGTCAAATGATCAATCAAGGTAGATTCTATGTTAATAAAATTAATTGATCAAAATTATTACACGTTAATATTATATAAAGTTTTCTAAAATATCGCACAAAGTAAAATTATACAATTTTATGCTTTATTTAATATCAATCTTTTTCATAATTTAATGATACGTGCAATATCGAAATAAAATAATTTTATTCGTTAATTTACGTACGATTTCTCTTTATGCTAATTGAATCGTTCACGGGTCAAAGTAACTAACTCCACTTTTTGATTTTTTAAAAATTTTATTGCCAAAGTACTCGATCGATGCTTGACTTACATTTAAAATCAATCTTGATTTTTTGTTTTGTGGAGTTAATAAATTTTAGCAAATACGCGGTGTAGTTGTAAAAAAAATTTTTTTTTGTCAACTTTCTACATTTTTTACCAGATAAACCTCGGATAGCTAATTTCCTATAATAAAAAAACTTTCAAGTGCAAGGATTTAATATTACAGGAACTAAAAATGAATTTCAAATTTCAACCCTGCAAAATTTTATATACAAATCTAAAACATCAAATATTCTTAACTCCGAGAAAAAACATGGAGAAAATATATACTTATATTTCAAAATTCTCATTACCTAATTCTAGAACCTAATAATGTTATACAATAATTTTTCCAATTCTTTTCGAGTCTTAAAAATATCTTTTTTTATGGGGACTTCCCTAATTTATAATCTTTTTTGGAAAAATACCGTGTTTCATGAGAATTACTTGTATACAGTATTTAATAAAATGCTAATTCCATAAACCCAGAAATACTGACAAAGTTTAAGAAAATAGCAATAATTCGCGAATTTTTAATATTAACCCTTTGCAGTCGATGAAATTAAAAATTTTGTGTATTTACGTATTATAAGTAGTATTTAACACAAACCAATTTCAACAAATTCTGTGCGTTTTAATATTCATATATTGTCTTTAAATCTTGTACAGAAAAATAACTGCAAAACGCTAAATTTACTCTGCTGAAATCTGCCGACTGCAAAGGGTTAAATTTGAAAACAGGATCGATAATATTTTTAAATAAATTTATTTTTTGAATACTCTATATAATGTCTATTTCAATTTTTATCTATGAATCTCAAAAAATAAAAACTATATAAAAATTCGCAAATCATTACCTTATTTCCTATCTTCTGTTAGTAAGAGTAGGTCCCAAATATTTTTATATTACTATAACTATTTTTTGTATATTTTTTACTGCACATTTGTTACAAGTATTATTATTATGTGGGACTTGGTTAGAGGGCGTGTATGGCGTAGTGTGTGTTTCTGAGTGTGCAGATTAGAAAAGAAAGTTAAAGCAAAGAAATGGGTTTTCACTGATGGGAAAAAGGTAAAAATAGGAAGCTTCGACTGACATTGTATAGCTAAATATAAAAATTAGCAGGTTAAACGCGATAATACAGGCGGTAAAGAGAAGAATAGAAAAGTGAGGTTAGGCTTGTACACGTGGACAGGAAGGATAATTATAAGTATTGTAAATACAAACAGAACAGAGGTAACAGATACAAAGATATTTGCAATTTATAATAATAGATAAAGAGGTACATAGAGATAAAGGTAATTAAAAGAATAGAAAAGTGAGGTTAGGCTTGTACACGTGGACAGAAAAGATAATTATAAGTATTGTAAATACAAACAGAATAGAGGTAACAGATACAAAGGTATCTTCAATTTATAATTTATAATAATAGATAAAGGGGTATATAGAGATAAAGGTAAGTAAAAGCTAGAAATACGGAAATATACTTGATTTACATAGCGTAGATTATATTGGGTTAAAAAGGTATAGAAGTATTAGGTTAACAAAGGTATTATTATTATATAATGTCTATTTCAATTTTTATCTATAAATCTCAAAAAATAAAAACTATATAAAAATTCGCAAATCATTACCTATTTCCTATCTTCTGTCAGTAAGAGTAGGTCCCAAATATTTTTATATTACTATAATTATTTTTTGTATATTTTGTGCTACATACTTGTTACATGTATTATTATATTCGAAATATTACTACGAACTTTGGAAACAACCCAATGCTTTCATTTTCGAATATACTTTTCAGATGAATTTTTAACACGAATTTTTAACGAGAAATTCCTTTTTCGTATCTGCGACGCATTAACACGACTAATATTTAGTGCTTACGAGAAATTTCGATATGTAGCTGCATATTCCTCCATACTCAGTGTACCAGAGATTAGCATCCCCTGTGTTCTTTTTCGTCCATCCCTTTTCACTTTTACCAAACACACTTCACTTGTTTAAGAATCACATACCTCACATATGGCGGATTTTACTTTCAGAATGTGCCTACGATCAAACATTTATGGAATCGTTCCCATATTCGAAAGCAATGTGTCGTAACGACGAATTGTCCGGTTGCTCTGATTTGCATCGAATGAAACCGTTGAAACGGAGATCAGTTCTGCGCTACATTTTCTTTCCGCTACGATTTCTTAGTTTGACATTTGTTCAAAAGCAGTTTCTATTTTGCAATTGCTTTCTGACCATCGCCCCTCCACATATAACATGCTCCTACTTCACTCGTTGCCCGACCATGCGAATACGCGGGACAAAATGTTGCGATGATTTTTTAGGTCCACGAGGCAGACGCGTGTTTGGTACTGGCGAACAAGTACTGTCAAGACCCAGACGCGGAGGACGCTGCAAACATCATGCGTGTCATCTCCATCAAGAACTATTCGGATGACATTCGCGTTATCATTCAATTAATGCAATATCACAACAAGGTATCGTTTTTCTCAATTATTTCACGTTTAATAATTTATTTTATTTGTATATAAAATTTATTATAGTATTACACTGTACCATTACATATAATAGTAATAGTGTGTTATATATAATTGTACGTGATATATGTTCGTATAAAATAATACGTGGTATGGTATATTATATAATATACAAAATAGCATTCCATTTGAAAATGATATTTCCGTATAATTACGTATAATTACATATTTATGTATAAACAAAAATTTTACATCTCCATCAAGAACTATTTGGATGACACTCGCATTATCATTCAATTAATGCAATATCACGTTTAATAATTTATTTTATTTATATTTAGACTTTTATAATAGTATTATACTGTATCATTACGTATAATAGTAATGGTGTGTTATATATTATTATATATAATTGTACGTGATATATGTTCGTATAAAATAATACGTGGTATAGTATATTATATAATATTTTACAGAATAGCATTCCATTTGAAAAAATTAACTTGATCTTGAAATCTCCTATAGTTTTCCACGTATAAACAAAAATTTTTACATCTTCATCAAGAACTATTCGGATGACATTCGCGTTATTATTCAATTAATGCAATATCACAACAAGGTATCGTTTTTCCTGAATTATTTCGCGTTTAGTAATTTATTTTATTTATATTTAGACTTTATAATAGTTTTATACTGTACCATTACATATAATAGTATTAATGTGTTATTTATTATTATATATAATTGTACGTGATATATGTTCGTATAAAATAATACGTGGTACAGTATATTATATAATATTATACAAAAATATAGCATTACATTTGAAAAAATTAAGTTGATCTTGAAATCTCCTATATTTTTATACCATTTTATACCAAACAATTCTTGTAAGAACATTTTTTTAATATTTTCAGTTCTTTTTGAGAAATTACAGAGAATTTAGATAAAACACTCAGCTTGTATGTAATATATCATGTATGATATATATTATATAATATGTTCTTATATTATACTATATTACTATATATAATAATATATTACGCAATACAGTATTATTACTATAAATGATATTACATTATGCATAGTCACATAAAGTATATTATATGATATATATTATTGTATAATATATTATATACTACATTATGTAATACTTTCACATATTACAATTACTGCTTGGAAAATGTACAAGTTTTACATAAATAACCTTAAATCTTAAAATTAATTGCTGTTCACCATGTTTCATACGAACAATATAATAATCAATACTAATTATAAAATCGGTTAAATGTAGGATTCAATTTTGCAAATTCTGAAATAGCAACTTAACATTTCCAAATTGAAATTAATTACTATCAACGATAGTAATAAAACGATACTAATAATTACTATCAACGATAGTTTACAACTATTTCTGTCAGAAAGAGTGGTAGACTATAGCAAAATAATTCGTAAGAATTAGTCTAATGGTAAAATAAATTCGAATAATTCGCAAGAATTATTCTAACGTGATCTACAATTTCACATTCCAGGCCTACTTACTAAACATTCCATCATGGGACTGGAAACAGGGCGACGACGTGATCTGCCTGGCCGAACTGAAGCTGGGCTTCATCGCACAGTCCTGTCTAGCGCCGGGTTTCAGCACGATGATGGCCAATCTCTTCGCCATGCGATCCTTCAAGACGGTCAGTAGAATGTCGTTCTATGGACGACAGACAGAGAATCTGCCGATCTTCCATCTATGCATGTGTGAACAAGGTTCCTTAGGTTTTCTCACGGTTCAATTGCTCACAGTGATCTCGCGAGCCTTACTCGATTCTTGACCGCGCTTTCTTCCGATTTCTTGAAGCATCAATTAGGCACAGCAGTTTACTTTTCGTTTCAAAATTCGTTTGAAAAATTTCCTCCAGCTCTATCGAAGCTGGAAATTCGTTTTCCATTTTGCATCTGATAAATTACGAGACGCGTCGAAACGTTACATGTTCTTGTCGCTGTGAACAAAAGCGCGAATCCGTACATGCATAGGAGCGTGTGTAATTTAGAAATGGTTGGTTGATTGGTACCAGTCACCCGATATGCAGGCTTGGCAGAATGACTACCTGCGTGGAACCGGAATGGAGATGTACACCGAAACACTGAGCCCTACCTTCATTGGAATGCCCTTTGCCAAAGCCACTGAGTAAGTCGGTCCATGACCAATCCAACATCCAACAGATACCTGCATATCTGATTCAAGAGACGAGATCTGTGGTTCCGCTCGTTTGTGTGGAGTCATTGTTCGTTATCTACTCCGTGTCGTGTTAACAAGCCACTAAATAACTATATAACGATAACTATTTTCTTAGTTTAGAATTTACTTCACCGGATGCCCCCTGTTTGATATGAACCTTTTTCCCTAATACGTAATTAATACGAAAGAACCTTCGATTTGAATGTTCGACGATTTGTCAGACTTGGGAAATGTGTGGAAGTGACTTACCGTGTGCTTCTGTTTCTCAGATTCGTTTTTGTTTGCAAGGATTTGTGAAGAATTAGAATTTTTGGTGACCAGATAGGTTTCTTTTTACTTTATTTTCTTTTTACTATTATCGATATACTATTTATTAATGAAATTAGGAAATGAAAGATGATATTGAAATACGTGGATATAATTTTTATAATAATAAAAATTGTTTTTCTTTATTAACCACTTGCGGTGGAAAGACGTGCCATGCACGTTGAGATGATTCTGTGACGAAATCACGTGTTACACACGTCGTCAGGCGATTGTTGCAGAAAGAAAAATAACGTGCGTGACACGTCAACTGTTAACCACTTGCCTTACCAATAAACTCACGGTTGCGGTGCCGTGCGCTACAGTATAATACGCGTAAGGTGTCACATTGGCGTCGCGAGATACTGTATCGATTCTGAAATATTTCCAAGATATTGATGACGCCGTGCACTCTGGAACTATAGCTCGAGAAATGAACGATCTGGTTGTTAGCCGACGTGCAGCCCACGTCATTTTTATTTCTGCGATAAATGCCTATCGACGTGGTGTACACGTCGCCGGCGATTTTGGAACAGAAGCATCTCGACGTGCGTGGCACGTCTTTCTAGCGCAAGTGGTTAATGAAATTCTTTACCGAGGTACAGTTTCTGCTTGCACTTCATCATCAGTTGATGCGTTTTTATATTCTCTTTTCGAACCCCCCGAACATTGCCTGAACGCGCCCCGAAGTGATTTGCACTCGACTGTTCTGGCATGTGCAACCGTGAATATCTTTGCACCGCAAGTGGTTAACCATTTGTACTGGAAAGACGTGCCACGCACGTCGTAATGCTTTTGTCGCAGAATCGCCAACGACGTGGTATACACGTTATCAAGCAATTGTCACAGAATCGTCAACGACGTGGTATACACGTTGTCAAGCAATTGTCAAAATCGCCAACGACGTGGTATACACGTTATCAGGCAATTGTCACAGAAACACTGGGTCGCTTTGGCACACGCATCTGTGAATTTCTTGTTAACGCAAGTAGTTAAGAAATTACGTTTTTATTGACAGTCAAAAGAACGTTTTAATTTTCTAAAATTATTTAAGTTAAGGGTTACTATGTTTTGGGTTAGGTTATTTATTGTATTTTATTATTTATTTATTATTTATTTAACAAAATTATTATTTAACAAAAGGATCACTAGGTATATTAGGATTTTCAAAACTTGACGTTATCAAAACGTAGTATAAAAATTCGTGTATTATGATGTTTTATGACGAAAAATACTGTATAGTTTCTTATTTTATTATTTGCGATTGAAGGTAGGAGATAAACAATAATGTCGTTGCTATAAAAATTACATCTAATTCTAATCAATATATTGACCTTTTATTAAAGGTAGATAGACAGTTCGAAAACATTTTTCAACTTTAAGAAATTATTTAAGAGTTATTAAAAGTTATCAGAATCTAGGCTAGTTTCACGAACACGTTATTATGAAACTTTCATCTAACTTGAGAGATCTTCTTATCGTGATTAAAGTGTGCAATGTACTTTAAAAGATTGTAGAATTACACTTTAAAGCTATAGCATCGTCCACTGCAGTAATAGAGTAGTTTTCCTACTAGATTAATCGTGCACTAGGTTTATTATTTTTCACTGAACTTTTTATAACACGATACACGAAATTTACGAAACTTTAAAAATTATGCTACGTCATTTGAAAGAAGAAAACGGTATATTTTACCATATTTAATAATATACGATATTTTTAGTAATTTGAAAAGTGATAAAAAAAAAAGTTTAGAACATCATTCTCAAATTTTATTAAAATTTTTTGGACAGTAATATTTATAAATTAAAACTTTATAAAAATTAAAAAATATGGAAATAATTTGAGTATAACGTTTTTAAAGTTTATACACTTAGTTTTTTACAGTGATTTTGATATTCATTTCATTCTTCATCGTCAAAAATTAATTTATAATGGAACTTTCCTCTTGATAATGAATTACTGAATTAATAATGAGATCCTAAGTGATTTTTAATTTTCTTGAATTTTAAAATGTTAATGATGTTAATGATAATAAATTGATGATAATAAGTGCATAAAATATTACATAAAAAAATATAGGGTTCCACTTAAAAACATTTTTAAATAAGCAATTTTTTCATAATTTTAATTATTCATCAAATATTCCATTGTTCTCATTTAAGTATAACATACTATATATATGTTATAGATTAAGTGATTAATATGGTCATAGTTTATTTTTATTGTGCATAATAACAAACAAAATTGTACATAGTAATAAATTTGACGTAGTTTCTCACGATTTACTATATTGACTGCTATATTCTAATGGTATTATTCTTAAATAAAAATAATTAACACTAATACTAGAAAGAAGGTTCAAAATAACTTGATTCAAATATTTTATTTTTGTAATTTCTGAGGACAATTGCTTTCGACAATATTAATATTGGTCGTTATTTAGATAGAAATATAATCACATATAATCAGTTGTTCCATTATTCCACTACAATTATGGTCTTTTCTGTATAGTATATTTAGTTACTCATTATACATTAGTACTTTTATCGTCAGTTATTAATTTCCCCTTCAAAATTAAATTGAACAAAGGAAATATAGCTATACTCGTAATTTTCTATTATTTTGATAAATTAATCTATATTTATCAGATTGCAGAATTGTTTTAAACGTTATTCATAATGACCAATTGGTTACTTGACTCATAACATATATATAAAACTATAATCAAATACTGACTTTCATATTCACCCTCAAATTCAAAAAATTTTTTAAATATTTGATATACCGAAAAAATTCGACCTTGAGAACAAAAACTTCAAATAATTTCTATCATCAGTTAAAGTTAACCCAAACCGTAATTTAAACACGTTGACTGCCATAGTGGTCACCAGCATCCGGCGATACTAATTTTTTAAATTTATATTTATTTTATTTTAACCATTTCTTGAAAATTTGAACAACTTGAATAAATAGAGAATTTTGAACAGAAAACATTAATAACTTGCATCATTTTTTTGTTCTTTGCCATATTGTTTGATAATTCATCACTATAAGAACAATGGAAACTTCATCGTGGCCCCCTGCTATATAAAAATTACGTGGCAGTCAAAGTGTTAATCTTGCTCTAAGATGAATTTCAGACACAAGTAACACCACGTTTCTCGTTAATCATCTTCCACATATTTCTCAAATTTTTAAACTACGTAATAACAATCCTGTTTCTGCCTTATACGACTAACAAGTCAATAAATTTCGTTTGATCGAAGCTTTTTATCGAAACAATGAATCAAATCACAAATTATCACATCATATAATCTCGCTGTTAAACAATATCGTTATACAAAACGTGCAACGAGTTTTCAAATTTTGCGTATGTACATAAAACTTCGAAAGAGACCAAGAGACGCGGTTCTAACCTCAAAAACCGTTGCAAAATGCAAATAACAGGATGGTAATGGCGGTATCCGCAGATACCGACGAACGTCTCGATCACGAAATTCCTCGGTTTCGTAAATATTTCCGTTCCCGTGGTCTATTCACTCTAAATGAACGTACAATCTGGGATGCCACGGCTAAAAAGACCCTTTCAGAGAGCGTATAGTTCGTTCGAGTATTCTCACCGCAGCGATCCCTGTCTCAGTGCGACGCAGGCGCGGTCGACCGGTTCGCGCTCGTTTTGTGCCCACGTTAACGATGGCGGAATCACTCGAGAAGAGTTCGCAGTCTCTTGAATCGGAGAGAGAAAAAAAAAAGGATGAAGCTTCGCCTCGCCTATGTCTTTCACTACGCTCCACTCCGCTATATACATTATATATGGATTATATCTATATCTATATCTATATCTATACTACATGAACGTATTAACTGTATATTGTACAGTACCGTATCTGTGCTCTACACCTAATCGATGTAAGCCACCTCTAATCGCTTCAGTAACGTTTCTGTATTTTTCACTCTTTTTCTATAAGTTTTACGTATGGCTCGAATTCGATCGAATGCCGTGGGGATCAGAGATTTAATGTGAAATTATTTTTAGAAAGAATTCGAAGAACTAGTCGTATCGATTAACACGGACATTTTTAATTAATATAAAAGTTGCTGGGTATGTGGTATAGGCTGGTTATGATGATTTTTGTTTAATTTAAAAATATATCGAATTCTTCAGGTTCGATTTTTGCAGACGAGATTTAAGATGAAACATTTACCAACATTAGTTAATACACTAACAAATTATGCTAAAAATATTGAACGATTTACGTAATACATACAATGCATAATATAACGTATACATAATACAAGTAAATGCACGTATATTTTATACAAATTATTGTTATTTCGATGAACTAACACGTGACACTAAAAAATATATTATACGTATGTAATACATGATTTAACGTATACATAGCACAAATAAATACATATATACGTATATATGTATATAATATAAAATATTATCGTTTCAAGGAAATATATTTAAAAGGGTTAAAATAATTTATTGTATCTTCGTACGTTAAAATTGGAAAATCTGAAAATTTTTTTAGTCGTTAAACACGAATAAATAGGAAAGTAAAAGATCGTTTGAAATATGATTAGTAATATGATTCTTCATTTTTCTTTATTTTCTGCACGTTTCGTTAATGTAC